TTGGCACGCATTTCAAGGACAGGTGTAAACAGAGGCTAATTGGGGCATTCCGGTGGATTTCCGCGCAAGGCAACCCGGACATGCATCATCCATCAGAAGCAAGGCAGTCCCTTAATCGTCTGCAATGTGGGTATATCCCCCAAACCAGATGATATCTCCTCAAGAGGTACACAATTTTCCAACACAAAATGTTGAAGGCTCCGAAAGTGAGTACTAGAGGCAATCCATCGCTCAACAGCAAGGAGTTTGAATTTCAAGAATTTTAGTCGATGAAAGCCCCCATCAGTTGTTTTTCATTGTGGTACCTGGCGATGTGTCTTGATTTTTCTTATTTTTTCTTTTTTTCCTTGGATCTGACAGTGGGTGTTTTGGTTCACTTCTTATTTTTTGTATTAAATGGGGGAGTGGTGAGAGAGAGAGGAGGGTAATGTTATTTTGTGGCTTTGTATATAAGGTAGTAATTTTTTGATTGAGAATTGTGAATTCAATTTTTGGATATGTTATTTTGTGGGAAAATTAATGTTATATTTGTTATTTGAATGGGAGTGTTATTATTTCATATTAGTGTTATTTAGTTTTATTATTAATGTTCTTTTAGTTCAATTACATAAAATTAGCACAATTTCAAAACCAAAAAAAAAAAGAAAAAAGAAAGAAAGATAAGACCGCGTTTTTAAAATGACACTATAATGGTTGGAATTTTTAAAATTAAAAAAGCCTATGAAGGCGTTTTAAAAACGTCGCTAAAATCATGGTGACGTGACAGTATTGTCAGGGCAGGACATTTGGCGGCGTTTTTAAAAACGCCGCCTATACTAATACAGCGACGTTTTTCAAACGCCATAATCTTATAGCGACGGCCGCGTCGTCGGCGTTTGGTACTAAACGTCACAGAAATAATTAGCGACGTTTTTGGTACTTATAGCGGCGTTTTTTAAACGCCGCTAAAAGCTTAATTTCCAGCAGTGTCCTTCCCGTTTGTCTGTTCAGATGTGAAGTTTGTAAATACATTATGGTTCTGATAGCTGAACACATCACATAATGAAGTTAGAAACCAAAGGACAGAATACTACCTCAAACACTCAGGCTCCCTGTTGAAATAGCTGGCATAGTAAACACCTCAAAGGATTGAATTAACAAGCCAATCAATAAGCGAACAAAAACTATTTTTTATTCGATTCAATGTACTAACAAGCTTCAACTGCTTTTCAACAAAGCAAAACTATGTTTCAAAGAGAACTATCAGACATACTTGGCCGATATACACTTTGTTATAAATACCATGTTATAAATGATGTATTATTGATTTGTTTGTATTAATTACAAAGAGTAATGAACTCTCTCTTTATAGAGAGAAGAATGGTACATTGGATACCAAATGACCCACTACCACCGAAAGCATAAAGGAAAAGAGAAAGCTATACAATTAACAATTAACACACTTAAAAAGCCAAAGCACACAGTTATGACCATCAAGTTTTAGCAGAACGCGAACAACCTGTATTGAGTGTTGCATCCATCTCTTGATCTATTTGC